CTACTGTTTCATCAACAGAATACTGTCGAACTTTTGGATTTTGTTAATGCTGATAGGTGAGGGGTACGTTCTCAGTGGTTTCTGGGGCAGGGGAGGGAGGGCGGGGTCACGTTGGAACCTCTGGGTTTCCAGAGCAGTGGTTCACACACAGCACGCACAACACTGTTATTCAGAGAAAACAAAAGAGGCCACCAGCTTTTTAATTTTTATTTAAAATGTCATTTATTATTATTATTTTTTTAAATGAACAGACAGTGAAATTGATTTTGCCTTGGGTGTATAGTCCTCTGGATTTTAACGCTGGGATAGATCTGAGTAACCATCACCACAACACAGAATGGCTCCATCACCCCAAAAAAGTCCCCCATGTTCTCCCTTTGTAGTCACACCCTCCCCCTGCCCCTAGACCCTGGCAACCACTGATCTGTTCCCCATCCCTGTAGTTCTGTCTTTTAGAGAATGTCATATAAATAGAACCACACAGCATGTAACCCTTGGAGACTGGCTTTTTCCATTCAGCATAATTTCCTGGAGATTTCATCGAAGCTGTTGACTCCGTCAGTAGTTTGTTGTTTTTTATTGCTGAGCAGTATTCCATTGTATGAAAGTAGCACAGTTTGTTTACCCCGTGAATGACATTGGGTTTCTTTTTTCCAGTTCTGTATGATTATTAATAGAACTGCTGTAAACATTTGTGTACTGATTTTTCTGTGAATGTAAATTTTAATTTCTCTTCAGCATAGCTTAATTTCCACTTCTTATTATGAGTAAATTTAGGCATATTTTATAAGTTTAAGAAGCATTCATATTTCTTTTCCTATAAAGTGCTCATTTCCTTTACTCATTTTTCATTTTGGTGACTTTTATCTTAGACAAGTTGGTTTGGGGGTGCTGACAGGACGTCTGAATGAAAATGTCTAGCTTTCAGTCTAAAGAGGCAGGACTAAAGTTTGAGAGGCGCCTGGAGACATAGTTGTTTTTTTTTCTTTTGTACTTTGCTTTTTTATTGTTGCATAGTATTCCACTCAGTGACTATACAATAGCTTATGTGACCAGTTTTTTAAAATGAAAATTTTTATTGGAGCGTCTAAACATGGGCATTTCCACAGACTGTGTCTTCAGGCTCTGCATGTTTTTCTCTGTTGAAAAGTTTATGTAGGTCCATGGCCTCATCTTTCCATTCTCTCCCAGTGTGACACTCAAATCTATGTCTCCAGCGTTGTACAGCAGAAACTAACACAACATAGAAACTACACAAACTATTCAACAGAGAAAAACACGCAGAGCCTGAAGACAGAATCTGTGAAAATGCCTGTTTAGGATCTATTAGGATCTAAAGGAGGAAACCAAGAAAGAGACTTCTTAGGGGTCAGAGAAGAGCCAAGATGGTGCAGGGTAATATTAATAAAAGCTGAATATTAAAGGTCTGCTAAGTGAAGGGTGTCAGTCCACAGGGCCCAGTGTTCAGAAGGAGGAAGAACATCTCTTTCCAAGAGTTCCAAGCAAAACCTGCACAATTTTGTCTGATTGGACTGGTGTAGGTCACATGACCACCCCCGCACCAATCATGGTGACCAGGAGATACAGTGCACTGATTGGCCTACCTAGGTCATGTGCTCCAACTCCATAATTTTCCAGAACTTCATGGATCCCCAAGGGGAGGTATGAGGCTATTGGGTCGAAGACAGATGCTGAAGAAACAACCAGCAAATGTCTAGTAAGTGGCCTTTGAGAATGGTGTATCGTCTAAGTCTAGGTTGACAGCACTTGTGTTTCAAGGTGCAGAAGTGGAGATGACAGGTGTAGAAAATTCAGTTCAAGAATTTGGCTCAAGTTTTGGTAACCAGGAAACTTAAATGAAGGATTGTTCCTTTTTTTCCCCCAAAATAAAGTAACATCCGTGCATAATCATAGCACAGGGGAAGGTCATGGGGAGAAACATCATGGAGACTGTGAAGCCTGAGGGATATTTGAAGAGAAGGATGATGGCGGAAGTAAGAACAGGTAAAGCCCAGGTGCCACGTGAAGGACATGCAGCGACACAAGGCTTTCCCCCACGCTTGCCCCTCTCCTATGTGTTCTCCTCACTGCAGTCAGAAACGCTTGTCATTGTTGGTACCCAATGAGAGTAACATCAGTGGCTTCACGTTGCTTCCTGGATGCAGGCTTTAGGAAGCGCACTGGACTCTAGGGCCCTGTGGGAAGTGTCTCCTACCTGTGTTTACTGTTTATTCTCCAGCCCCAAGGGACCATCAAGATCCACAGGCTTATCCCTTGCCCTCTTCAACAACAGTAATCCTCTGTCTCTCCACTAAGCTGTAAGCTCTGCCTAGGTGTGGTTGTGATTGTTTGGCTCAGACTGGATCCTCCAGCACTGTGTCTGGCATATAGCAGGCACTCACACATGGGCACTGGAAGGAAGAATGGATGCCCTCTAATCTGTGAAATTTGCTGTAGCCTCAGTGTTTATTTCTAAGGTCTGATTCTCACCCATTGCTCACTCAAATCAGATGTCATTTTATTAGAAACTAAACAAGAGAAATAATGAATGAAGCTATTAGGAAAAAAAAAAACCTAAGCCCTTAGAGTTCTATTTTATGTTTATATGAAAAAAAAAAAGAGTGGAAGGCAACATGCCAAAATATAGACAGCGTTAACTGTAGGTGGTGGAAATAAAGATCTGTTTTGTTTTTTTTTTCTTTTCAGTGCTTTCCAGTTTTTCCACAATGCACATGTTTTACTTTTTGGTATTTCCCAGATTTTCCAATACATTGAGGAAAGTGTTTCAATTTTCCAATGGTAAACTTTCAAAATAATCCATGTGAAACTTTGTAACAAAACCACAGCAAGCTCCTCATTCTCTGACTTAGATGTATTCATCTCTTGGTTACATTAAGAATTCACCTTATTTGTATGGAAATATGTTAATATAAATGTTTCAGACAATACATGAAATTTCTAAAAATCTTATATGTTCTGGTACAATGTTATAAGTCATAATTCTAGTTATCACTTTAAAATGTGTATCTCAGAAATAACTAAATTTCCTTGTCAATTGCATCATTATGAACTTTCATCAAATCTTTAACCGTGGTCATTTTTAAGTCTTTTGTCACTTACAGACAGTTCTGGGCGTACTCTGATGCTTTTGCAAAAATGTTCCTATAAAAGGGTTTCGTCTTCAAGGAATTCATGCAAAACTCTGACAAGTACAGGTTTCTTGTAACTGACTATACTGCTGAACTGAATGAATAAGCATTTTCAGAACTCTAATGGAAAACTGATGAATTCATAAAAGATCAAGATAAAAAAATTAATTACATGGGACAGAGTGAACTGATGAGGATGATTATAGTTTTTGTGACTTTCTGTTTGAATAAAAAAAAAAAAAATCCCACAGGGACTCAGAGGCAAAAATATACAAATCAATTTTCACTGCAAAGTAAAGGAGCTGTTACAGTGGAGGATTCCTGGACTGAATGTCAATATCATGACCTAGTATGAGTGTGTTTTGTGTGTGGTAATTGCAATCACTGTTGCTTTTGTTGTGGTCATGCATTTACAATGCTTGGTGTCAGCTGATTTATCTCTTGTAAAAATAAAATACAGTGTGTGTGTGAAAAAAAAAAAAAGAATTCACCTAATGAATTTTGCTGCGAGAACGCTAAAGGAAGAAGAAAGTGGATGACATTAAGGAGTTAAAAATATTTTAAACAGGAGTTTAAGGAAAGAAGCAAGCAGGGAGGGAGAGAAAGAGGAAGAAATGGGGAAGGCGGGAGGGTCAGAGGAAGCAAGAAAGAAAACCAGAATCGAAAATGTAAAGAAAGATTGATTAAATCAAGCATGGTGCCCGCACCCAGTGAAATCTATACACTATTTGAAATTCTGTCTCTGAAGACAGTGGTAGTACTCAGACGGGCATGGCGGAGCTTCGGCACCACCACATCTACAGCATCTTCTCAAACCACCCCAGACAAATGCGCTCCGTAAGTAATGACGGTGTGCTTGCTGGGAAGTGGCTCCCGAAGCAGCCAGCTTCTTCCTCCAGCCAGCTGCAGCCCCGACCCCTGCCTGCCAAGAAAGGATGACGCCACCTCTGTGAAGATCATGACAGCCCTTGTGATACACTATGAAATCAAAAATAATAAAGAGAATTCCTGGCGGTCCAGTGGTTAGGACTCAGCTGTTTCACTGCCATCGCCTGGGTTTGGTCCTTCGTCGGGGAGCTAAGATCCTGCAAGCTGTGTGGCGCAGCTAAAACAAAACTTTTTTGAAGTACAGAATTCAAAAAAAAAAAAAAAAAAGATTGAAGGAACAGTGTGATTATAGCTGTGCATTAAGAAAACAATTTATTCCAAAAGAAAAACTGGAAGAAAAGACATAGTATGAATAGCGTGATTGTGGTTTGTATTTTTCCTATTTTCAAATGTCTACAACTGTACTTTTTAAAAATATGTATTAAGGCTTCCCTGGTGGCGCAGTGGTTGAGAGTCTGCCTGCCGATGCAGGGGACGCGGGTTCGTGCCCCGGTCTGGGAAGATCCCACATGGCGCGGAGCGGCTGGTCCCGTGAGCCATGGCCGCTGAGCCTGCGCGTCCGGAGCCTGTGCTCCGCGACGGGAGAGGCCACAACAGTGAGAGGCCCGTGTACCGCAA